AGACCTATAGAATTTTCAATTGATTTTTAGAGATAATGTTATAAATATGAACGTCTATACCATCTTTTTATTTGTATGTTCAAAAATACAAGATTATCAAAGAATGACTGCACTTAAGCTATGAGAGTTGGAACCTTTTTGTCTACCCATTTTAAGCTTAACATTACAATATATCAATAAATTAATCTATGATTAATGTGCAAGCACATTCTTGTGATATTTATTTCTAGAATTTTTTGTCATACATATTTCTATAATTACAGAAAATGTAATTGAAAAGAACATGTAAAAGCCTTAAATTCCGGAAATTTGAACGGGACCACTTTCGAATCTAAGGTATCCGCAAATAGGCGGAGTCATTTAAACCGCATGGTTGTGGAATGTAAACATTAGCACATATGATTTTTTTCGCACTACGAATTTAAATGGAGAAGAGAGAGATCTTGTTGATTTTAAGGGGCACAATTATGAAATGATTCTGATGATAAGGGATGGGGTAGATGTCTCGCTCTACAGACAATAATACAAAGGCGACATAAGCCTATAGATACACGTACTTACTATTGACGCTGTCAATACCAAGATTTCTTTCCAAACACCCCTAATGTAAAGCATAAAGTTAAATAAGAGACATATTATCTTCAAACCCTATTAAAATTTGCGCAAAAATATCCCATAGTTTGAAGTACAATAGATACTATCACAACAGAGACTTACACACAATGAAATGTTCAATGAAAGCGTATCGAACAGCAGAATGTCACGTGATTAAGATGATTATCATATCAATCGTTGATGCACGGTGACCGGTTAATTTAGTAGTTATCTCGACCCTAGCTTGGGGATATTTTTTTTAAAATTAGATATGAGCCGCAACTTGACCAACATTGTCCTTTGGATATGTATAAGTTTAAGTTAAAATACACATTCTGTGCAAATAAGAAAAATGGACAAGTTGCGGCTCGATGTAAACAAAGTCGTTGAAAACTGATATGCATATGAATAACAATAGAAATGATACAAAACTACTAGACCCCCGTCTCAAAAGCTGGTGTCGCTCGTCATTGTTTAATACTTTCATGTTATATAATATACCAAAACCTGCTCTTAAGATATTGTTTAATACCTATAAAACATAAATTGAATGAATTTTGGAATTTTATTTTGCGCTAAACACAGGGTTCCAACTCTCAAAGCTTAAGTGCAGTCATTCTTTGTTTTATTATTATTGTTATAAACTAAGTAGCTTATTGTATTAAATTTCAGTAAAATCAAATACTACATTTAAAAGGTACGTAGAAAATCGAAGAACAGTACTCGTATATCTGTGTTTTGTTTCTATATTTTCAAGCGAATATGAGGAAAGAATGGGTGTATTTTCAAAAGTAGTGTTGTTATACATGTATGTTAGATTTACACAAGTTTTGACAAAAATTGTGTACATTTATTATTTCAACATTCAATAAAAAATAATGCACAATTAAAATTAAAAAGAATTAAATCATCATCCAGAAAAGAATGAAAATGAATATCTTTTCAACATCAATTAAATGAATAACAAATTTAAAACAATATACATGTATCTTAATTGTTTGTTACGTTCCTAGCAAAAATTTTTTTAAAAAAATTAATAATTATTTAACCTGTGGTTGATAAAGAACTCGGTGCACTCTATGCATAAAATGGCCCTGTAGATATTCCAATTGATTGATTAACACTTGATGTTCAATTTGAATATTAAAACAGAGACTTCGCGCTCTCATTTCCTATTAAAAATTTTCCCACAAAAGTCCAGGGTCTTGGAGAACTGGCTTTATGAAATTGCAATGTTCTTGAATTTTAAGGTAAAAAGGTATATTTGAGTACTTTCAGTGAAGAAAAATAATATGAGCGCACTCTCTGATCTGAAAAATACATATTTTATAATCCTCAGAAACAGTTCTATCATTTAAATATAATTACTAGCTAGCTGGATATTTTAGATCAGAGGTTGTGCTCTATATTAAATATCGAAAAATAGCTATAAAAATTGCCCGGTTTGTAGACTTTTTCAGAATATTAGGAAATTGACCTATTTCGTGACGTCATAATGCATTGATAAGCCAGAATATTGCGTCATTTTTTAGATACGCAATCACCAAAGAACTAATTAATATTTTACTTATTGTTATTAAAACTAAGCAGTTTTATTATTTATATTTTTTAGTTCAAGAGGGCTATACGTTCTTTTCCTTCTAGGAAAGACATGAGACCGTTTATGTTTTTACTTATATATATATATATATATTCATTAACATCAATTTAATGTTCCTCTCTTTTCTAGGTGGGAATGAATAACATAAAAATACTGCTATTAAAATTACTCGTGTATCTTATTATTCGTCCTAATCCACATCCAGTTTTTTCAGACTTAAGAATTAGTAGCCTTCACTTCACAAAGAGACCACGCCCCTTTTGCATTACCACTGGCTAAATACAGATTGACGTCACTACAGTGGGCGGGGTCTGGGCAGTCACAACGAAACACACAACGTGAAAAGGCGTCAGGTACGGCCTTGTTGTCTGTCAGAGTACAGAACTGGGTCGGTTCCTTGATAGCTCTGTATGATACCTAGAGATATTGGAGGAAAAATCAATTACAAAATGAGTAACGATTAAAAGGTCCATCATTTTGTTATATGTCTTTTTTAAATCGTTTTCCTCTGTAGGAACGTGAATTGATTTTTTAGTCATATCAATGTCCATTAAAAAAAAATAAATTTAAAGTCAGCACAATTTTGGGGTAAGAAAAATATTTTGAAAAGAGAGGTTGATATGTGTAAGTATTCGTTCAAAGATTGGAATTTTTTTTTTTTACTTTTGGTGTTTGTCACTAATATGAACAAAGTAAACAGGTAAAGAAAGCATAGAGAAGACACAAATATTTACTTCTCTATAGAGATAGAGATGTTATAATGTTGATGTACTAATGATGGTTTATATCATTGTTCTCTTTAGTCATATTAAATTTTGAAATGACACTAGTGATTTTGCAAAATTATTGGGTATGTCTTGGAACCCATTCAAACATCCGAGCATCGCATACTGAAAATGATACTCGGTTACTCGGATGTGTTTTTTTTATTTCAAAGTACATATTTATCAAAAATAACTAAAATTTGAATGCAGTATATAAAGACCTGTAAAACACTCGTTATCGACTTTCGCTGTGAATACACAGTAATTACTGACCAATCGCTATGTACACAGCTGTTTTCCCTACTGTCTGTCGTCCTTAAGTTTAATTAAGATGCTTTAATGAATTGTTTTCACAGTGCCAGAAAGAGTTATTCCTCTTATCACAGAGTCAGTAAGAGTTGTCTCTCTTATCAAATGGTCAGTGATTTGAGTATTGACAATAAACACTGACTTAAAGCAATTCTTATCTTTGTTTAAAATGAAAGAAAGATTACAATTTTCTTTTTTTTTAAAGAAACCATACTTCGTTTTTAATTGTACATATATAAATCTGGCCTTTTCTCCTGTATGAAAGATATTTCTCTCCAACTCGAATACACTATTTCAAGTCTCTGGTGAACTTAAGTCATGTACAGTTGATTCTATTGCTAATTTTTGTAAGCCTTTACTTCTAAAAAGATCATTATTTTCATCATCATACTAACCTCCCTAGTTTATCAAATAGCAAAGAAGTAATTGGAGTTTAACATCATATATTTGTAAACGTTAAAATATGCTCTTTATTTTACATATGAGAAAGAGAGGTTCATCTTATTGTTCAGTTTAACATGGAATCGCCATATCACCTCCCAAGTGTTCTCAATGTAAAACATTTTTGTGTATTTGTAAGATCTAATGTTGAGTTCTTATTGTGTGGTGTTCTCTTTGTGTATGTTTTCCTTGGGTACTTTTAGACCATACAATTACATAAAATTCTCTTCAAAATACATATATTAAAATTTAAAACAAAAGTGTAGGTGATTATATTAACAATACAGTAAATAAACAAATATTAGAAACAAATTTATCACTTGTTTAAAACTCTAAGTAAGATTAAAGAATCTCTGAAAATTCTATCCAAAATATAAGGTATTTGTCAGCAAGTTCACTTTTCTTTTCTTTAAATGCAAATGTGCTTTTTCCGAAAGTTTTACACTTGACGTTTCATTAGTCATATTTACCTGAAGCATCCGGGAATTGGAGTGCCTGTCACATAAAATTCCCATTCCTGATATTTTAATGGTGAAAGCCTTTGCCTGAATACCGAAGACAGGTTCTGTCGGCATTCTCATCATTAAGAAAGGCGTGAAGTCTTCTTGGATTGGAAGTGGAAAACATGTGCCCGCATTGTCATCCAGGACAACCGCCATTTTAGATTTTATGTCTCCATTGAGATCGTTAAAAATCTCAATTGACTCCCATCCTTGTAAGTAAAAAAAATGTATTTGAAATCTTTTCTTTCGTTTTGATTTCTTTTCCTCATCTTATAATTGTTTAAATTTGCTTACTGGCGTTTGATACATGTAATTTGGTAAACAAAGTGCAATTTTTCTAGTAAACAAATAACTGGAAATGAAATTCGGATTGTCAAAAATAAAAAATTGGAGATCAATGACGTTTTATGCATATCCTATAACATGTATACCACCCAATTTAAAAAGTAAATGTATGAGGGTTGTCCGTAAAGTTCGTGGACAAGTTAAAAAGAACTATATGCGGTATTAACCAACATTTGCCCCCCAAAATCAAACTTTGATGGAGTAACATTTAATTAAGTCCTTAAACAGGGGAGTATATGCTGACTTCAAAGCAATGAATAATTTCATAAGTAATGACGTCATATGTACGTAATGACGTCACAAATATGACGTAATTTCAGTTTTTTATGAATTTTGCAGAAAAATGTACATATTTCGTCGATATTTTAAATAAAAGTCACCGAGCGCATGTGTGTTCAGGATAAATATTTTGATATAATGTGTAGAATGATAATATCAATGAAATATGTCAATATTGTTCCTGAACACACATGCGCTCTATAAATTTTAAAGCTTAAATTGTTGAAATTTTGTCCATTTTGTCCTCTTTCTGAAAAAGGATAGCAAATCGGACTAGTTTGTTACGTCATAAAAACAGAAATTGTCAATACACTGCTCTGGAACTATAATATTTTCTGTTAACTTATATTTCTCGTACAATGTATTGAATTCAGCACATTTCAGGAAGTTTTCAAAATTTGACTTTTGTGGGGGCAAACATATGCAATATACCGCATATAGTTCTTTAATGTATGATTCGTATTTGAGATTACCGAATAAATAAATTGATGTTATACCTATTAACTTTTAATATACATGCATCGTGAGACTGGTAAGGGCTGTTAACAAATACTTACACTTGACATTCACTCTTCACAATATATTTCAGTAACTGTGGCAAAAACAGTTTAACCACAATAGATGATAATGCGTAAAGCGGTTTTAAATCATTAAAGACTCTCCAAGTTTGTTATTCAGAATCATTTTAGAATACTAATGCTCTTAAATATAATATCCCGATTATGGATTCATTCAATGATTGACAAACTCAGAGACCTTAAATTCGTTATTTAAAATATCATTGGGATATCAGTAGCCAAACTATAACATCTCTTTTATCTATGACTTTTACAATGAAGCGCATTGAAGTGGTAAAATTTTCCGTTCGAATGGCACGTTTTGAGCTATCTTTAGAACGTTTATTGTCATCTTTTGTCACGCCTATTTCTTTAGAAATAGATAAAACGGTCTATTTGTTTTTCCGAATAATTGTAGAACAGGTTTTCCGTAAATATAATAGCCAATGAAATTGACGACCCAAATAAATACCGAGTAAACACGTGTTCGACCGAAAGATGTGTTGTGGTAACTTCAATAGAAATGATAAGTTCAAAAATATGAACATTTTCGTTGCAATTTGTGTTTTACAGAAGCGGAGAGTCTGTAACTTTCTATTCTAATTCTTTTAAAGCTCCATTTCACTGTAACTCATATTGCTTGTCGCGAAGAATGGGGTGTCCTAAAACATTACGAGGAATATTTCTTTCTCGTTTCTAAAAATATGGGCGTGTCATTATGTTGTAATTGACGTTCAAAACATGACCCAGAACCTTTCGTCCAAACGGAAAATTTTACAACTTCAATGCGCTTCATTGTATTTTACTTGAAGAAAACCTGCTCTTGACATTTGCTTTTCCTTTTTTTCTTTCAGAGGCCTTGACGAAAACAAAATAACTACTATAAGTACCGGCACATTTACTGGTTTGACAAACTTAACTGTCTTGTAAGTTTTGTTTCTTAGAGTTTGATCTTAGTAAAAAAAAATCGGAGAATCAATCCATCAAATTATAAAATCTTGTTGTTTGATTCGAAATATTCGGATAAAAGCATTGTTTTCTTGATTTTTAACAAAAAAAAAATTGCGCTAACCTGAATTTATTTATTTGCAACATAAAATAATATATTCCATGTCTGTTATTGTTATCTTATGTTTATATTTTTTCGAAAAAGGTGTGTTCTGGGGTTGTATTGTACGTGTTTTTGAATGATATTACATCTGAAATTCAAATCAATTAAAGATGTGTGACTTTCTAAGGTGACAAGTATGGCTGTCGACCTTATAATATATTCTATTTTGTAGTATATTGTCACCAATATTTGATGACATAATAGTTTCATTAGTTATTTATCATTGAGTCAAATGCCGACTGAAGTTTTTAGTCCATTATTTATACACTGAATTGACGACGATTGCGTTATTTCCTGATCATGAAAATGAGCATGTGGCGGATGTGACCGTTCGGCAGGGGATGCTCACTCCTCCATGGCACCTGATCCCACCTCTGATGTTTCGGAGGTCCGTGTTTTCTCTGCTCCTGATTCGTATTGTTTTATAGACTTTGTCATTGAATAATGCTGGTTTTACCCCTAATTATACAATTCCCCTTTCTACAGTGTAGTACAACTTGCATCAGGATGATGGCAAAGTTAATAACTAATTTTTATAATGTTGTGTTTTTACATTGTCAAATATAATTACATCAAAATGACTGTTTGAGGCAAATTGTTGAAGACTTGGTACTGTGTTTTGTTTGTAGGACTAGATGGAAATAAATCTGTACTTAGCCCACAGTAATTTATTGATGTGTTACAATGAAATATAAATATAAAAACATTACATCAAAAGTTTAACACAAAATGAAAATTGTTTTTGTTGACAAGGACATTAACTGGTGTTATTTGATTTATGGAGTTTGTGGTCTTTTTTATAGAATTTTATTGTATAGCTTGTCTTATTTTGGAAATTTCAGTTGTGAATATATACCTGCGGGATATCTGATATATAAGGGTGTTAAAAAGTATATTGGTAAAATTAGGGAGATGGAAATTGTCGGCTTTGGAGTTTTATTGTTGATTAACCATGTTTTTTTATGTTTACAAATTAATTGATTTTCTGGATACAGTTCATGGGATGTAAAAAACATAGGAATATGTACCTATATTTGCTTATTGATTAGTACATTTAGATTTAATTGTTTAGACTTTCCTAAGGTGTTGGTTGTTACTGGAAATGTGTAGTTAATTCGTGTATTTTATGGTTTGTTGAATTGAATTTAGTCGCTACATAGGTGTTCTAAATTTCCATTAGTCTCCACTGAAAGGGACGAAATAACTTGTGTAAGTAAAAGATTGTATATGTGTCTCTCATTATTCTTGCCAATTTCTAAATATATAGACCATTTGTATTTTTTTGTAATGTATAATTTTAGATACATTAAAACATGGGTATCTGTATTTTTTAAAATATGTTTCATTAATTTGTTTGGCGTTCTAATAAATCTTTATTAGCAATAAACAGTTCGTAGTTATATTTGCAAAACAAAAAAAGAAACAAAACAAAAAACAAGTAAGAAAACAAATAAAAAACCAGGGAAAAGTAGACTCATGGAAGGAGAAAATAAAATATACAGAAAATTTTATACAATACACAGCCTACAGATTAAAAAGAAAATGTGGGATGTACAAATGCGGTTGACGAATATGTACATAATAATCTTTAATGTATCTGATTACATTGTGAGGCTAGAAAGAATTTTTAATGTAATCAAAATTTTTCATTATTATAATTTCAATTAGGTACGAGGTAAAATTATAAATACCTGCACTCAACATTCACTCCTCACAATATCTTTCAGAACTTTGCAGATGATAACGCTTTACTATAGAGGACAATGATATTCAAAGCAAAATTGATGACCTGTAAGTTGATCATTATCAATTGGAACTTAAAATCTCAAATATTCATTTATTTAATGATTTAACAAGACTAGAGAAGGAAATTAAGCGCATTATTTTAAATAATTTTTTTGGAATGTCAGTCTTCCATACTATATTCCTTATCTTCATTCTATATTTATGTGGTTTTTTGGTATTTTAAGAGCATACTTTCCCATTTATTTGACTTGAAATGGTTGTTTTTCAGGTTCATTCTTCATTAAATCAATCATCATCAACGCTTTGCATTAAATAAAGCGTTTACTATCCCATCATTTTTTTTTTACATGTACCGATTAATTCCATGTATAGGCTTTGCGAATCTAGACGAAAATATAGTTGAAACTCATCTGTATTTTCTTTCTTACAAAATAAACTTTAAAGGAAAATTTGTAGAATTATTTGCGTGAAAAAAATCGTTTTGACATTTTCTTTTTTTCAGATATTTGTCCGATAACGGAATTACAACAATCAAGAGCAGCACACTTACTGGTTTGACGAACTTAGAGAGGCTGTAAGTTTCATTGCTCAGAGTCCTGAAGAAATTTTAAAGACTTCAAAACGAGGGCGGGGCTGGGACGATTTTATACGCGAAATGTTTATTGTGACATCACACATAAATAGTTATTACTCATTAAACAAGAAAATAAAATAATTTGCAAGTTAAAGGTGCATTACAATTAATGACACAACTCATAAATGCATTAAAAATGTTAGTTAAATCTCACATAGCTGGTTATAGACATATCGTTGATCGCAATATCACTTGTCGACATGACAACAAAAATTGACAAATTTTAGGAAAGTAGACTCATGGATGGATAAAATAAACATACTGAAGAGTATATACCATGAACTACCTACAGATTCAAACGACAACGTGGGATGCGCAAATCAGATTAATGAATGTGTACATAATAAACTTAAATGTATCTCGGATTGCATTGTGAGGCTCAGTGAATTACTATATATATATTTTTTGGAGAAAGGTCAATATTTATGACACAAGTGTGGTTTGAAAAATTAATTAAACTGTAAACGTTGATATTTCTCGTTTATTTTATCATAAAGGTATACTTTTTTTCAGCATGGAGGTGGGACAGGTGGTTTTTAAATGTGCATAGTAAATGAACGATAACCGAAAATTGCTATAAATGTACATCAAATACACGTAATTATTTTAAGCTGTGATGTATTTGATGATTTTATCAAGCAACAGCATTTTTACACACCCCAATTATACATACTTTAAAAAGAATCTTTAAAAAGATAACACGATTTTTTGTTTTTTTCTTAAAAAGATTTTTTTAACAAAAAATCTGTAAAAGAATCAATTTGTCATTTAAAACTTTTGAAGAATAAGGTATTTTATTAGAGATCCATATTTTTACCGTGAACAACCTTGACATTTTTTTTTACTTTCGGCTTTAAAAAAATTAATGCCGATAGAATGTAATTTGTTTATTCAGAGTTTTAAAGTAACCTTTACAATTTTTATTAGGTTCAATTATAACATTTACCAGAATATATTATAATATATAAATATAATTTTGCTACGCACCGTCCAATTTTCCTCATAATGCACCGAAGATAATCCGAAATGTGTATATATCCACAACACTTAACATCGCAAGTGTTTATCGTATGTTTTATACACATATATAGTTTTGCATTATTATTTTTTTTTTAAATCAGTTTTCCATACTATAATACTCCATGTTTTCAGCCTATATTGATCCTTTTTGGTATTTAAAGAGCAAACTGTCCCTTTTATTTAAAGCTAGACGAAATTATGCACGTAATAATTGAAATTATATACACTAATGCAAATATATCCCAATTATTTTCCTCGCACATAAATTTTCAGGAAAATGCATTATTTGCTTGAAAACTACTAGTATTCTGTTTTTTCAATAAACACTATCAAAAATAATAAAGACATTTACTTTTCGAACTAAGCAGCTGTTTTTATGTCAGGTCCTAAAAATTGAAAATGTAAAAAGAAATTATATCATTTTTTTGCGTCACACATAAACCTTTATTACTCATTAATCAAGAAAATGAAAGAAATTTTTTTTAAATGACACAACTTATAAATGTATTACAACTTTCAAGTTGTTTGTTCATAGCAGGTTAGAAACATAGTCATAAATATTATCATTATTCCCAAATGCGACATCATTTTGTTTTGAAAAAGTTTTTCATAATGAAAAGATCTTTCATTATTAAAAAATTAAAAACATATTTTATTTATTCTCCAATATAAAACCGTTGTTTAGTGCGATTATCTTAATTATCTGAGAATGTGTCAGAAATTTTACGGTGTTTTGTTTATTCATGTGTATTAATCACCAATTCACAAGAATATACTTGACTTCCATTTTTTAGAGTAAATTAAGAATATTTTTTAACTAAAAGAGATGAATACTTTCTTTTTCAAAAAATATGAATAAAATATTTTCACATATTTCGAAGAGCTTTTTAATAAAATGCGAATTCTATTGAAAGCATTAGCATTTTCCAGATTGTACGATAAATGCAGAAACGGTTATTAATATATATATTTGCCCCGTATTATTTTTGCCCTTTCAATTGTTTTAATTCCACGAAAGTTTTTGTTTCACGATATCTCAAAAAGTGCCATTTACGATGGTTTTAATTTCACGCTGCAAGAAATTAATTGAAAATTTCCTATATGCAATTTAACATTATTAAAAACTTTTTGCATGATATTCATATATATAGTTTAATTAGTCGCGGAAAATTAATGAATCTAGCGAACATAGCGAAATTAAAATCATCGTGAATATTTGCCAATATTAATCAAAGTAATTTTTTAAGCTAGATGAATTACAAGAAATTTGCCTTATATTAAAGATACAAGTCATATAAATTGAATAATTGTTAATTTTTAAAGTGATTTGACATTTTTATCTCTTTTTAGAGAATATTTTGGATAAACTTAATGTCTTAAATTAATCTATTTTTTGCATTTCACACTGTTTTTGCACGTGCTCCTGTGTAAAAGCAAGCATATATATAGGTATTGTTTTTAATACCTAAAAGTTAAGAGCAAGTGGTCAGGAAAGAAATGTCAAAGTTTTGAAAATTTCACACAAAGACTTTTTGGACATAGGTCCACCCTTATGGTACATTGATACTTTGATAAGAGAGAAAACTCTTAATGACAAAAATGTCTATTATTCCTTTAAACATTTGTCAAGTTTAAGTGCCTTTTTTGTCAAATTTTGCCCCGCAAGCCATACTATAATTGTTTGTATTTTATTCAGCATAAACATTTCCTTTGGAAAATCATAAATTTTAAAGAAAATTTTCATATGGGTGAGCAGAGGGTTTATGAACCATAACCATTAATTGACTGTCATATAAAAAATCTAGAGTACTATGTGTCAGTGATGTTTATCTTATCGTTTACAAGCTTCATTATAGATTTTGGAATTTATATTCATGTACGTAGTACAGTTAAGGTGCGCAATGGAAATATCGACTAAATTTTGTATTTAAAAATGTATTCAAAATCGGGATAGCGATTATTTTTAGTACATTATTTATATCGGATAATTGTAATTACATATAATAACTACATATCGAGGACGATTATATTTTATATTTAGACTAGTCACGTGATGCACATTTACTTGCCGTATTGATGTTACATATAAATATCACTAGTGCAAGGGCATAACGAAGTTAAATTTCCAAGTTAAGTATATAGATATTTTCAGCACGCATTGTAGTTTCTAAAAAGTGCTGCAATCCTGTCTAAATTCTGTAATTTCATTGTTAAAATTATACTTGTATGACCGAATGCTATATTTTTTGCTGGTCAGCGGCATGAAATATTGATATAATTAAATTGGTTTTAAGATTACATCAGGATCGCAGCACTTTTCACATACCTTAATAGTTCTATAGTTGAAATGTAAAAGCTTACTTTGATCCATAGAGTGTATGCCCTTGCACTAGATCGATTTATTAAGACCCCCCACATTACCTTCTGATGTATTTGCATACAAATATACGGCAGTGTTAATTAAATACGTAATGTACAGAAAATATATCAATAAAATAGCAAAGAAGACATTAAATTCAAGTTATTGACCTGTAGAATATCTGTAAATAATATTTTATTTAATTAGAGAATACATATTTTGTTGAGAAAATATTACTTAATCTGTCTCTCGCTGCATACAAACTACGTCACGTTGTAAGAAATGACGTCATATTGACAAGTGTATTGTGATCAGTGACATGTTTATAACTTGTTATGTGGGATTTAACTAACGACAAAACAACACGCTGTAGTAAGATTTTATGTAGTTTGATGATTTCTTACTGGTTAAATTAGCAAATAAACTCATTATGTGGCATTTTAAAGAAATGTTGTATGACGTATATTGTGTATGATGTCATAGTCAAGTTTTCCCGTAAAAATTAGGCTCCGCCTCCTTTTTGTAACCTTAACTGTGCTGTGTATCCGTAAGCAGCATTCAAGAGGGATAAAGATGACAAACCTAAACAAAAATCGATAGGTCACCTGACAAACCTAAACAAAAATCGATAGGTCACCTGACAAACGTAAACCAATAGCCAGAGGTCACCTGACAAACGTAAACCAATAGCCAGAGGTCACCTGACAAACGTAAACCAATAGCCAGGGGTCACCAGACAAACGAAAACCAATAGCCAGAGGTTACTTGACAAACGTAAACCAATAGCGAGAGTTCACCTGACAAACGTAAACCAATAGCGAGAGGTCACCTAACAGCAAGAGGTCACCTGACAAACGTAAACCAGCACCGAGAGGTCACCTGACAAACGTAAACCAACAGCAAGAGGTCACCTGACAAACGTAAACCAACACCGAGAGGTCACCTGAGTAAACCAATAGCAAGAGATCACCTGACAAACGTAAACCAACAGCAAGAGGTCACCTGACAAACGTAAACCAACAGCGAGAGGTCATCTGAATGTCAAAGCCATTCTAAAATATCAAATATTCGGCATGTTCTACAATAACTCATTTAGAATTGTAGATTGGTTACCTTGGGAAATTATAAAATCTTCTGGTTTTGTTCTTGTCGGAACTGGAAAAGATTTAAAAGTAAAAAATAAAAATTTCATGTGCATGCATAATAATATATTGTAAATTTTGATTCTATATAATTTTTCTTTTGGAAATAAAGTAGTAATTATTTAGAAACACTTTGATTTAGATTTCATATTGCAATCCATAAAGGCTAAAGGATGCTCAAACACATTTATACCTCTTACAATTCGGAAATAATTAAAATGTTAAGCTATTATCTGTTCAAAATTATTTGCATAAATATATCGCTACTTACCATTACAGTTTTTCCCTGAAAGTACCATAATTTTCTTTGGTTCTAAATTGAATCAAGAAATGTGAAAATAATAAACATTTTAAATGGTCAAAATCCTTACAAAACAATCTAATAGTAGAAAAATAATTGAAAGCAGGACAAAAACGGACATATAGAAACAAAAGATGTGGGTTCAGGTACCATTGAGAAGTAAACATCTCTGAGACTAACACCTGTCTTTATCAGGAAGACGAAGTTTTCCGTACTCGCTTGAAAACAATATTACTATTATAGTATTAAAAATCAGCATGCTATATGTTCTATATATATGATTGTATGTGCAAAAGTAAAAACTATAGAATTAGAAAATCGACGCATTAAAACGAGCTTACTAATACCTCTGTCAAATTGATTTATTTGTCGCTAATCTACCTTAAATAAACAAGTTTTTCTGATCAGATCACTCACATTGTATAAAACAAAAAAGCCATTTGCAAGATTAGTAAACAGTTAAAGTATATCATTGAGGGAGTAAGCAAGATTCCAGTTCCCCAAGAGCAGGATTATTTACCGAGGCGCAGCGCACTAACTCTTTCAATGACATACTTTTTAACTGTTATTATACCGATACAAATAGAGGATAACGAATGGAGGGGAATAAGCTTCAAGACTTACGCACGGGGAATTAGTTTATTAACATATTGGACCGATACAAAATTAAAAACTAGAGGACTACGGATAACCGGGGAATTAGCTTCATAAGCAGAGGAGGCTCATTAAACTAACACATGGGGAATTAGTCCATTCACCGAGATTTCTAGTGAATTATTCATATTTTACTGCCTTACTTTCATATAGGAAAAGCTCAGTAGAGGTATAATAATGATTATTATATAATGCTATATAATAGGTAAGGGAAGTTGACAATAAAAAAAGTTTAAGTAATATCTTGATCATAAAGATTATAGTTTATTATTGTCATCGATGCCTTTATATTTTGTAAAAGAAATCATCTGAAACAGATGAGAAAGATTCCGTTAGTCTCTCTTATTGCGCGTTTAGTGAAATCAATCAAATTTGCATATACATGTAAATTACAATGAATGATTATTGTCCTGTCCAGTAGAAGTATTCTTGACATAATTTGTACACATATGACGTTCTCTCTGAAGCTCCTTATCAAGACACTGTCAATTATACCCCGCCTTTTTGTTGATAGAAATCAGTAGGTGTTAAGTCAACAAAACCTATAGATGTTTAGTTGACAACGACTTATGGGTGTTTAGTTAATAGGTGTTTTTGTGACATTTATCTCTCTCTCTCTCTCCACACTCTCTATCTCTCCACTCTTTCTTTCCCCACTGTCTCTCTTTCCCCACTCTTTCTTTCTTTCTCCCCACTCTCTCTCTCTCCCTCTCTCTCTCTCTCTCTTTCTTTCCACTCTCTCATTCCCCCTACTTTCTCTTTGTCCCCAATCTCTCGCCACTCTATTGCTATCTGTTAACAGTACAACTTACCTGGACACCAATCTGCAAAGGGTTTGGGGTCTGATTCTGGAAACTCTAAGGAGCTGAACTTGAAAAAACCTAAAATTAAAAAAAAAGAATGTGGTAAAACAAAACGAATAACTTTCAAAAAGGAGAAAAGGAAACTTTATGACTAAAATAAGATCCAGTCAAATATTTTAAAGAAATAAGAAGGCTGTTCTTTGGCCATATCGGACGTGGGACAGGTAAAATGGAGGAGAAAAAGTCGACCACGCGGGTTTGTTAATACAGCACACGGATCAGAATTTTGCGAATTAACACTTTCTTATAATATGTAATAGGGTGAATTCACCATGCATCGGATACCCTTGTACTTCAACAAGTTCTACCGATATCGCTACCGATGGAAAATTATCAAAATGAAGTTAAAAATTTAGTTTGTGATTAAAATAACAATTTAAGACACAATTATATGCCGTTTATTGAGAAAATATCCCCAAAAAGCGAGTTTTTAGGAAAAACTGAGAATTCACCATGGATCGGACATTGTTTACCATGCAGCGGACAGACGGTATGGAGACCGGAAAAATATCATATCTTTATTGCAGTGCTTTAAAATTCTTGATATGGATATATTTTCATCTTTTTTCTAAGAAATAACCCTCAACTTTAATTTAATCGACGATATTATTGCCCAAATGTAGAACGATTCTAGAGACCCCACTCTGCCTTAGAAACGCTTTAAAATGCTTATAATGCCGTAATTCGCGCCTTTTTCTTATGGTTTATCATACTCTAGTTTGTAGAAATAAACTGAGAAAAATTCCAGACGTCATATATCGGTAACTTGTATTTTGACTGAAAATATAAAGTTTTTATTTTCTTTTTCTGCAAAAAACAGCTGTCCGCTGGGTTCTGTATGAAAATGGTAGTGCTTACCTTTGCATCGAAAAGTGTCCGATGCATGGTTAATTTGTGTCCGATGTACGGTGAAATTAGCTTACTAGTAAAAACCAGCTCTAATAAGAATTAAACAAACATTGAAGTGAAATTTCTTTATAATTTATGCAAAATTACCAATCCCTGACAAAATTCACCAAAGTCCGACTCGTTCCGTGGAAGTCGATTTTAAGAACGATAACTCTAAAAATTGCAAAATCATAAATTTCGGGTTATTCCCCTTTGATGATGTAAAATATGACGTAACTTCAAGGCCATTTTGCGGGGTATCTTTATCACAACATGATAAACACAATCGGTATCATTCAAAAATTTAAATCTTCTTCTTTATGACAGAAACAAATAAATACACAGAACTCTTAAGCTGAAAGAGAGTTTATTGCCTGAAGTTGTCCGAAGCAAGGTATGTGTCCGATGCATGGTGAACTCACCCTACTAATAAATCGGAAAAGTCATGGATAAAACTTTTGCTACTATTATGCATTCTATAGACGTCAATGGGATTTATACCACAGGAAGCACTACACCACGACGTCACCTCGTGACGTCTATAATTAGAAAATATGCCTTAATGAAAAAGTGAAAAGTTCAACACCGTTCAACACATGATTACTTTGCATTATGTTATATAACATTAATTAAAAAAATTACATTAATTTATAAAACGGTTGTATTTTTGTTTAATGTTCAAGGAAATCGGCAGGTTTTTTTAGATATCATTTATAATTTTTAAGTAGAATTCAGACAAGGTTTTATGGATATGTCGTTATATAGACGCATGAACATACTATATTTTTAATTCAAATTGGACATAACTATTATATAATTAGAGATAAAGGGATTCAATAGAAAACTCTTACTTCTTCTTGATATGAGTTATGAACTTTAAATTAAACTGCCAATTGTTAGATGTTTTACTAGAATTAACATTTTGACTGGACAAACAGAAAATCCACTTATAGTCCCTTTTATAGTCATCATTTCATAGGTTCTTTGGTCGATACAATGACCTTCCCAGCAATAGAATTCATCATTGAGTCAAATGCTGACTGACGTTTTTCATACTAATTGCTAGGCCATTATTTATACACTGAATTGACGACGAATTTTCCAATATTTCCCGATCATAAGAAGGATCACACGGGGGATGTGACTGATCGGCAGGGGATGCTTACTCCTCCATGACACTTAATTCAACCTCTGATGTTTTGGAGTTCTGATGTTTGCTCTGCTCCTATGTTGTATTGTTTATGGACTTTAATATCGAATACCGTTACCGTTCACGGTAGCTCAGTTGGTAGAGCGCTCGCTCCGTGATCGGGAGGTCGTGACTTCGCATCTCGGCCGCGACTGACCTAGTCATTAAAATGGGTAGTAACTGTTCATTCGCCATGCGCTCGGCACTTTGAAGTGAAAGTTGCGGGTCTTTCGAATGAGACCTTAAAAACCGAGGCCCCGTGTCAGCGGCAGGCGTTGGCACGATAAGGATCCCTCACTGCTCAATGGCCCTGAGTGCCGAATAAAGGTCAAAAATTTAAAGTTTTTCACCGGCATACGGTGACGTCTCCATATGAGTGAAAAATTCTCGAGAGGGACGTTAAAAAATATACATTCAATCAATCAATCGAATAGAGTTCGTTATCTCCATATCATTCTATCATTCATTATCTGACCCAAATTTAGTTCATCTATATTTTATTACTTAATAATTCATATATTTTATGTAAATAAAAATAAAGTTGTGATTTTTAGACTTGAATGAAAAGCAGTTTTATATCGCTGTGTCACTTATACATGTATGTTCAAAAATTTACAGGGAAACAAAATGTTGCAGTACGTACATGTAATTTATTTGAAACAAATAAGGAGAGGAACAGAACAATCCAACGATGTACAATCCTCCCGGCTATAGCTTTGAATAGAAACTCGTATGAATCCATTAAACCATACCCCGCTAAAAGAAAGGATAATATAAAAGTGTAAATTAAGAGGTTCGATAATCATCGATTAATTAAAGTATTGGGATATCAAAAAATAATCTCAAAGTCCAAAGTTTGAATACAATTCAGAAGTACAGCAAAAACGGACCTATATGTGGGATCAGATGACATGGGAGACTAAGCATCCCTAATCAATTTATGACATAAATATAATACAGGTACATACAATTATAAACGAATATTCTTATATGAAAATAAACAAACAAATGAAAACGAACAAGTTAAAATTTCATAATTTTATAATCTTTTAATTTGCTTATATAGATCATCATTTAGAGCTGAAACTGAAATCCCGAAATATTTTGTAGTGGTAAATTGTAAAAAGTTGTGGATAATTATGTGTTACACACAGTGCAGCCGATGACAAAATTATTTGCATTGTAACCTATGACAAATCTTCACTCCATACACGTATTGTTCTCCGTCCAAATATTGTCGAAATATAAAAACAACAATCATGACAATTGGGCATATAGGTCAAAACTCCAATGAAACAACGCACATAATATTAAAAGCCGAGCAAGGTCGGAGCTCTTAAAACATCAGAAAAGGGATCAGGTGTCATAGGAAAATGGATTTTCTCAGTTGAACAATCACACCACACCCCCTGCC